TTGTGCGTCAGTGCCTCGGGTCACCCAGTCGTCCAACTGAACGGAAGCGGAGACATCCCAAGCCCCCTGCGCCCACAGCGCCCGCAATTGGCCGGAGGCCTTGTGGGAAAAGATTCGCCTCATCAGTCTCACGGCAAGCGGAAAGGAAGCACTCCATCATACACTTAACTTGATAAGCACTCCAAATGGCCACTGGCAAGAAACGCTAGGCATCCCAGCGAAGCTAAAGTCTGGCCTCAGTCAGGACTGAAAGTGAACCCTCCTCGGCTTAGGCCTGAGTTTCCTACACACACACATATATATATATAATATACATAATTTGTATGCATCTTTCATCTGAGCCCTTTTCGAATGGTCGCCATAGGCTTTGGCATGCGAGAACCTCGGCTGAACTCCTGACCAAGCTGACTGGTAATACTGGTGGAGTACTCTGAGGACTGTACCACATCAAATATCGCAAATAGAACCAGGCCTGAGCACGACGTGAGTAATGGTGCATGGCATTGACGGTAGGTCACATCCAAGCTTATAACACCACATTATAGTGTCGTTCACTGAGCTCCTGTGGCGCCTGGCTGTAAAGAAAGCCAAGGGTGCAAAGGGCCACTCAGGAAACATCTGCGGCCCTAGAAGCCTTAGTGCACAAGGCTTAGCAAAGGAAGGGATGTGCAGGAGATGCCAGGGGACACCTCAGCGGCTAAGATAAAGACCCCAGAAGTATATAAATGATGGCCTGGCATTAGAGCCACTCCATGGATCTGGCCATGAACATGATCCAAGATTGACCATGTGGCCAAGTTGCAATGCAGAATGGCAGGTGCTGACCTCAGATGGACAGCAGAAACGGGGGTTCTAGGCAACGAGTTCACGCATGGCACTTCGAAGATCCTTTCAAGGCAAGTTGCACTGCAAGGCCCAAGGTTTTGGCACAAATGGCAACACCTGTGCATGTGATCATGCAAACCATGTCTGAGCTGAGCACATTAATGGGACGAATGCAAGTTGCAGGCCAAAGCATCAATGGACATCTCCCAACTCTTTTTGCTGAACCTCGCAGCCGTTTGGGCGTTTCAGCCACATTTTGCTGCACCACGTCCTCGAGTTCTGCTCTATTCGTCTCCTCCTTCGACCACATTTCTCTCACCTCCCTGCTCGGAGTCGAAGTCGCAGCGGAGCAGCTGCGCTTGGCGGTTGATAAGGATTACCCCGTGCGTTTCTGCCTCATCTCTTTTTCGTTGCATTGCAGTGCGGCCACTCCATCTTGCGTTGCATGAACGTACTCAGTTCAGCTGCACCTTGGTCCAAACCACTCGCCGGTGAGGCAAGTCTTCGAATGATGTATATACCGTGTGTATATATATATACAGGATATATCCTGCCTAAGGGCTCTTGGCTCTTGGGAAGCTTGAACAACTACAATCGCGTTTGAATGCTCAGCGATGTCTTGCCAGATCATGCCCAGTCGCCCTGCACATCAATATCAAAGCACAACAGCCGCATGGAGTGCTTAGCAAACTCCGTGATCACACGCTCGTGGTGCCAAGCAACCCAACCCATGAGCTCCTACAGAACCAAGTCTGCAAGGAAAGCATCATGAAACATCTGTCAAATGACCGCCGTCCTCGTCCAGCTGACCACAACCTTTCGGGAGGCCTTGTCACAAGCAACATCCAAGCTTCGTGAGGTGACTTTGTAAGTCTAAACAGGACAATGCGCCTGGCAGGTCAGCTTTTACAAGCCGTTGCCGCATGTCATTGTGTGAGTCGACTGACTGCAACCAATCCTTGCTCCATATCGCCAAAACAATCTGCCACATGCACTCCATTTATGAGTCACAACACCAACTAGACTAGACTGTTGTTGAAAAAAAGTATCATGGGCAGGGCGCGTTCCGATTGCGAACATTGAGGATGAAGTATGCATCTGGATAGCAGTCTCTCAATTCCGTCAGGTATTGAACCTGAGGAAAGTAGGCTTGCACGGTTTCTTTTCTCTGGTCGGCCCAGTAGCATCCATTCATCTCCGCAACAGCATCCACCTGGCCAGAACTGGAGTGGAAGGGCGGCCAATTCGCGCCCAAAGGAAAACAATGGAAAACATCTGCACGCTTGAAAACGGTGAGTGATTCCGTTTCAATTGACTCCCACCTCTCCCAAGAGCTCAAAAGGAGGCAAACCACGTAGCATTGCTTGGGACACGAGACATCCCACTAGCCGAGTCTCGGCATCCTCACCGCGGAGGCGCAGCTGCTTGTCCTTCTGCAGGTTCTTCCCAGCGTCCAGCGCCCAGTGCACAGACCGGAGACCCGCCCTCAGAAAGGACTCGTGGAGCGAGGAGGTGCCACACTTGGGCATGCCCAACACCACCACTTGCACCGGCCGGACCCCGGTCAATGGCATACTCGGCAGGACGGACTCGCTACTGGCCTGAAAGAGGGTCAGCTGATCACGCACAGCTGAAGAACTGACTTGTGACTTGAGGATACTGGAAGGACCTCCAGCGGCATTGTCACTAGTTATATACATGCACAAAGCATGTTCTATCAAAAATTTGAGGCCTCTTCATCCACCTCTTCTGTAGGAGTCGCCGAGGTAGGTGCAGTTTTCGAATCGCTCCCCTGTAGTTTCCCGTCATCCTCCCACCGAGTCTCACTAGGCTCATCATTCCCATCTTCCACTCGCCTGTCTTCCCATGGGTTTTCCCATAGCTTTCCTCGCCATCCCTCGTCTTCTCCTGCCTTGTCTTCCAAGCGCATGTCCTGCCATTCACCTTCCCATGGCTTGTCTTCCCATCGGCTTTCCCATGGCTTGCCTTGCCACCCGTTGTCTTCCCATGTGCTATCTTCCCAGCGCTTGCCCTGACATTTCTTGTCTTC